GGCCATGCATGACCAGATGTAAGTTAAAACTCTTTTATTCTGCCCCAACAATGCACTTTAACCCCAATCTCAGAAGAGGGTCCTGCGCACGCCAATGTGTATTGTTGCATTTCCCATACTATCCATCTTTTTGGCCTCTTAACTCAACTTCCTGAGGTGAGGTAAAAGAACAAGGTCCTAATCTTTTGTTACATTTAGTCCCCTGGTATTTTACTATTAAAGTCAAACATTTTATAACTGAAACTTACAGAGGAGCTTCAATTAAGATGATCTGAGCAACTCTGCAATATGGAATTAATAATATTTCATCTGGGTTACATTAGCAATTGCAGCAGTAAAAAACGAATTATGGAAAAGTAGAGTCAGATGGAAATTTACTGGAAGAGAATGTACAACCTATAAAGCATGTAATAATAATACTTGCATTTGATATAGCACTTTTCACGTCTTCTTGACGTCTCAAAGCGCTTCAGAATAGACTGTAAAGTGAATTGACTGTATATTTGTGGGCGAAACGGGCAGCCAATTGCGCACAACAGTGTCTCCCACAAACAGTCATGGATTGAAAATGACCAATTTTTATTATTGTTTTGTTTTTGGAGGGATTATTATTAGGCGTGTGGAGTAAGGAAACTTGCCCAAGGTTTCGCCCTGCCTGGAATTAAAGTGTAGATAGGGTCAGCAGTAATATTAATAAAGTGTTACAATGGAAAACTACACTACAAAATCTCAAAATTTATTTTTGTCTATTAACATGCAAAAAGTTACATGAATACGAAGGGTTGAGAGCTTGCAAGAAGTGATGAATACATTTCTGTGCAATATTTGCATTATTTATTGCCACAATGAGACTTTTAACAGTTTAAGACAATGTAAATCATGCTAATACAAGTACATTTGACGAAGCGTTTGAGATTTTAGCTATTCTAAATACTCTATAGATCCATTGCCATTTAAAAGCAGAATGATCTAAAATTGAAACGTTTTAATTCCCTTCCAAAATTAGATTTCTCCTTGAAGAAAAACCACAGTAATATCTTTAGTAAGAAAATAATCAGCATTTTTATAACAACCTATCATATCGAAACATTTAAAAATGCCTCATTGGTAATTACTGTAAGTGTCGTGACAATTTTCTACAATTTTCTCTGCTGGGACTATCAGTCTATATTTCCATCCACTCCTATAAACTGTAGGAAATTAAACCTCCCTCCCTGAAAACTGCGGCACAATGATTTCAATACATTTCAATTAAGAAGCAGGCACGATTTTGTTTTTAAATCCATGAGGTAGGAGTTGCGTGCTAAAATGCAGGATCCTAATTAAGTAATTATCCTATTTTTAGTTTTACTTAAATATCCATCTCCATGATCAAGACCAGCAAAGGAATGTAGAAATTCATGGATTCAATCATGGCTGGGGAATACTTCAGAGTTAAGTTCATGTGGATCAATCGGAAGTGTTTATCATGAATTTCCATTCGCCATGTTGAATTAGAAAGGAATCCCTGGCTATGAATTCCATCCACTTCTCCATCAACAAAAATTGTAACGGTATTTGTGGGACAAATTTAAGACAGATTTTGCAAAAATACGTACTAAAGTCCATAGATTGTTTTTGGGCTTAAACCACAAAAATGTTACGAGAGTTTAATCCCCCTCAATTTCCCCGATCCATTCCCTTGATTTCACGTGAAGTAAGGGTTTCTGAGGTCTTGCAAAATTCCATGCATTTTGCATGCAGTTCCCTCCCACTTCAGTAAACATATAAATATGGCTTGTAGGAACATACATATAGTACCAAACACTTCTCTGAAAAAACAACAGGAGTAAGAAAAACATTCCAAAATATTTTCAGCAATGCTTACCTATGGTATGTACCTGCTAACAGAACTTTGCCAGGTGTCAGGTGTTGCCAGGTGTTTGCAATGCAGAAGATTCATAAGAACATAGGAATTAGGAGCAGGAGTAGGCTATTCGGCCCCTCAAGCCTGCCCCGCCATTTGATAAGACCATGGCTGATCTTCAGACCTACCTCTAATTACCTGCCCTATCCCCATATCCCCTAATCCCTCTATTTTTAAAAAAAAATCTATCAGTCTCAGCCTTGAAGATGTTCAAGGACTGAGCATCTACAGCCTTCTGGGGTAGTGAATTCCATAAATTCACTACCCACTGAGTGAAGAAATGTTTCCTCAACTCTGTTCTAAAAGGCTGACCCTTAATTTTAAGACTGTGACCCCTGGTTATAGATTCTCCTACCAGGGGAAACAGACCCTCAGTGTCTACTTTATTCAGCCCTTTAAGAATCTTATAGGTTTCAATAAGATCTCCCCTAATTCTTCTGTACTTGAGAGAATATAGCCCTAGTTTATTCAGCCTATCCTCATAGGTCAGTCCCCTCATCCCAGGAACTAACCTGGTGAATCTACGCTGCACCCAATAGGGCAAGTATGTCCTTTTTTAAATAAAGAGACCTCGGTCTCACCAAGGCCCTATACAGTTGCAGCAAGACTTCCCTACTCTTGTACTCTAAACCTTTTGCAATGAACGCTAATATGCCGTTCGCCTTCTTAGTTGCTTGCTGCACCTGTAAACTAACTTTTTGAGACTGGTGTACAAGGACACCCAAATCCCTCTGAACACTAACACTATCTAATCTCTTCCCCCTCTAGAAAATAATCTGTTTTTCTATTTTTTCTACCCAGGTGAATAACTTCACACTTCCCCACATTAAATTCCATCTGCCACCTACTCGTCCACTCCCCTAGCCTATCTATATCCCGTTGCAATCTTTTCGCATCATCCTCAGAACTTACTCTCCCACCTAGTTTAGTGTCATGCACTGTCATTCACTATTACAGTTGGGAATAACTACATGCCTCACATCCTCAGATGTTAGCATTTGGCTTTCTGCCGAATATCTCACAATAAGGTTTGGAAAGTTTGGAGGGTGGTATTTATGCTGGATACAAGCAAGGTATCATGTCAAATACTCCACTGTAGAGGCTGATAAGGAGAGGAGGCACATGGCTTGCCAATAGCATCTTCATGTTCGTTTTGGGGTTGTCTCTATGAATGTCCTCACAGATTTGCAGTAAGAGGAGATTCCAGGATATTATAGAGCAGAACACATCTGCTAGCACCAAAAGATGCCATGATGGAGTTAGCAGACCCATTAAATCCAGCTTTGCTATGAGATCAAAGTGCGGTCAATGGACCTTAAATTAATCTTGTCCCTCAAGTTCTACACCACAGATTTGGAAGGAGCAATCAATTTGCTGTCCAGTGGTCCATTGAACTGTTGTACCTGAACCGTGGGAGAAACTCACTTCTCTTTTTGAAGAGTGGAATGGGATCTTTAACATCCACCTGGACAAGCAGACGTCTGGTTTAATGAGACTTCTTGTATGAAGGGCACTATAATAAATACAAGTTGTTATTATGGAGGTTGGGGTGGATGCAGGCCCTGATGAAGATCATGACAGCCACTCTACAATCACAGCTTCCAAATAGGAACCCATCAACAATGCTTTTGGCAGATGAGGGCAAGGGTCTTGGTAGCACTGCCCACTGGAAGGCCAGGAAGGGGAAGGGGACAGGTGAAAGGGATTGTTTGCTCATTGTTCTTTTCGCTTCTTTTATAAAATGACATACATAATACTTGTGTTAAGTATGTCCAAGTGTTGTCCTTGTGTTTTTAAAAATAGTCTCCTTTATTATACCTTGCCTCATGAAAATGACAACTTAATGATCAGCATGGTTTTGCATCAGAAAATACAGAATACTTTTCTGGGTCTATTGTTAGTTTGGGGTCAGAGATACATTCACATCTGTAATTCACAGTAATTTTCATTACTCAACAACAATAACAACTTGTATTTATATATTGCCCATCACGAGGACAGCATCTCGGAGTGCTTTAACGGTGTCGGAGCCTGACACCAAGCCGGAGGGAGGAGGTGACCCTAAGTGCAGTCGAAGAGGAAGGTCTCAAGATAGATGTAAAAATAATTTTTAATCCCACAGAAAGTTATAAATAAAATGATACCTATTTTAAGTGCTAAGTTCCTCATTCCCTTAAAATCCAGTTATTTCTGAAGACTTGCTTTAGTTCTAGTGCTTATTAAAATAGCACACATCAGACAATGGCTGTGTTTTGACGTTGCATTAATAGGAAGTGATATACGCAACTCATGATAGCAAAGCACTGAGGTCGAGGATGCTTTCTTAGGTTTTTGGAAAAAAATATATGATTCACAGTCCAAAAGCAGTTACGTGGTTAGGCTCTCCCTCCCTTTCTTCAATTCTCATCACTGACTGTTTCCTGTAATTCTGACCACAAACCGGAAAGAGCCGTGTGCTAAGGCATCTTGTTGAAACCTGATAGCAAAAAGTAGATTTAACCACAAAAGCAGAATTAATAGGATATATATTCGTTCTATCAAATCTAACAATAGACGAATGCTACTAAGAAACTCAGTTCCACATACATTTTTTCTTATTTGAAAGTACTATATGTGTTGGTAATGGCAGAGTTAGACCCCATTAGAATACGGGCTATGACAAAGCAACTCTTAGCTAATTCCATATGTAATCATTTGTCAATCACCATAATTATTTTTTCCTTTGGTAGATCAAAACAATTACTGCTACTACTTAGAATAGAACTTTTAATTGTCTAAGGTAAGCACTGTTAAGCCCTACCTTGTGTGAAGGCTGCTATATAAATGCAAGTTATTGTTATAAGGTATATTTACTTAAAAATCAAATGTTTAGTTTACTCAACAATAACTTTAGTTACTCTTATGTTTCTCAGTCTATATAGAGAGAGAAAATATTGCACTTTCTTTATGTCGTTAATCTTGGCTGGCAAAACACACAAATACAAATAAAATTACACATTAAAGCTTTGTATTAACACAATATTCAACTGAGTTTCAACCATCCAAATTGTTAGAATACTACAGCTTAATGTTGCTGTAAATACTAGTGTTTTACCTCTAGCAGATTGGCGTAGATTTCTCCTGGGATCTTTCAGTTTCATTTGCAGATACATGGCTGTATAACTGGATGCCATTCTCAATGGGGAAAAATGTTTTCTCCTTTTCTACAACTTCGCATTCAATATTGTGGAAACGTGTCTGTCACCATCATATCGAATGTTTTTGTTCTGTTTTAGAAAGACCTTCCGCAGTACAGGAAATTGTCCTCTCTTACCTAATTGGCTAGACTTAATGTGCTTACACAGCACTACTGGTTGCTTGATACCGGTAATTGTTTCACAGATAATAGCAGCAATATATACTCACCCTTTTGCTCCTACTTCACAACTGGTGGACAGTTTGGCAGGCCTCAGTAAACAATCATAGCATGTCAGGTATTCTGCAGACTTCTTTATAATCTATGATCAAGTCACTGAGAAACTGTACCGAATAAATATTAGAACTATTTAAGTTTACACATATAAAAACAAAAATGTTTTATCCAACGCGTTTTGCATTAAAATAAATATGTATTATTGTATATTTTAGCATTGACATAGATTTCTTCTTCACCACATCACAAGTAACCATTTAGTTACTCTCTCCTCTTCCTCCTTGACCATACCTTCGGTCATCTTCCCACCCACACACCCCTTGTTATAGGGTTCCTGGGACCATAATGAGATTGGAGATTTGTGCTTCAACATAAAAAAGAATACAAGTTTAAAAAATTGCAAAATTCAGAATTTCAGCACAAAGGCTCCAGCTTCAGTTAATCTATACTGCAACAGCTCATTTCAGCTAGGAAGGTAGTCTTGACCTCACAATTGGTCACAATTCCCAGGGCAAAGATGAGGAGAGGGAAATGGGGAATGGGGAAGAAAGCAGCCAGTGTTCCCACTTCTTAATTGCTCTCCGTCGACTCCTGGTGGCCATAATAATAATCCCAACATTTGATGTAGTTCCTTATTATGTTGTCAACAACAAAGTTACATTTGTATAGCACCTTTCACGTTGGGAGAACGTCCCAAGGCACTGGACAATCAGTGTTTCTGACCCAAGCTAGTGGTCGGGATCAGGGAGGGTGGAGGACAGGAGGGGAAGGGAGGCTGATCGAAGGCATGGTCAGAGAGGAGGGTCTCGAGAAGGGTCTTGAAGGAAGCAAAGAAGGGGGCGAGGCGGAGGGACTGCGGGATGGAGTTCCAGAGGGTGGGGGCAGAAGGGCTGAAGGCCCGCTTGCCAATTGTGGGGCGGGCGAGACGGGAAGCAGGCCGGAGCCCGCTTAGCGGAGGGAGCAGGCAAGTTGTTAGGGGATAGCAGAGGTAGGGGGGAGCAAGATCATGGAGGTGAGGACCAGGATCTTGAACTGTATCCTCTATGTGATGGGAAGGCAGTGGAGTCAGGCAAAGATAGGGGTGATAGGGTCATGGAGCCTAGTGGTGGAGAGGACATGGGCTGCAGAGTTCTGGATGATCTGCAACCTACAGGCAGGGAGTTTGCATCGACAAGCCTGGATGTTATGAAAGCGTGTATGAGGCGTTCGGCGGCCTGCGATCTAATACAGTGGCAGAGCCGGGTGATGTTGCGGAGGTGGGGCAAGGCAGAAAGTCATGGTACAGATGTGGGGTAAAAAGATAGTTGAGGGTCAAACAAGGTGCCTCTGGGAGGTGGAGTGTGCATCCTTGGATGGTGATGCTGTCAGCGCCTGAGGTGTGGAAGCGCCTCTGTCTTGTTGACGTTCAACTTAAGAAAGTTAGCTCTCATCCAGGACTTGATCTCTGACTGGACCAATCCCCCAGCAGCTCACTCCAGCTCAGAGATCTTGAAATTTTTTCAAACCTCAGTTCTCCTTTAAATTCCTCCCCCCACCATTCCTTCTCTATTAGCCACTCTTCCCATAGTTCCTACCACTGGCCCCAACCTACACACCTTTGCCCCCATTTCTCCTTCCTCCCTCTTATCCTCCATCATGTTGATGAAACCCACCTCAACCCCATCCCCACGCAGCTGCTGGTCGTTCATCTCCCCCTCCTCTGCCCACTTCTGGCAGACACCACAAATCAGTCCCTCTCCTCACTCGGTCCCACTCCCATTCAAAACAGCTGTCATCACTCTCCTCTATAAAAAAACCTACTCTCAATCCCTTCAACCTTGTGCACTACAGTCCCATTTCAAACCCGCCCTTTCTGGCCAAAGCCCTGGAAGGTGTTGTTGCAAACCAACTTTGCTCACACCTTGCTCTCCACTCCCTACTCAAACCTTATCAAAGTAACAAATGACATCCTCGCTCTCTGTGACCATGGCTCCCTCTGCCTCCTCATCCTCCTGGACCTCTATGCTGCGTTCAACACAGTTGACCACACCATTCTCCTCCACCTTAGTGGGATCGCACTCGCATGGTTCGAACCTGTTAACCAACTGCTAACACTTCATCTCGGTCAATGGTGTTTCCTCTTGCCCCCACTTGGTCACCTGTGGGATACCCCAAGGCTCCATCCTTGATCCCCATCTTTTCTTCATCTACATGCTATCTCTTGGCGATGTCATCTGCAGACATGGGGTCAACTTCCACATATATGCGGATGACTACCAAAACTACTTCTCGTTCTCCAGCTGCTACTCCCAGTCTGCTGATGTCCTGTCAGCTTGTTGACAGACATCAAGGCCTGGATGAGCGCAAATTTCCTGCAGCTGAATGTCGGCAAGATGGAAGCCATATTATTTGGCTCCCGTCAATGTCTTCTCTCCTGCGGGTCTCTCTCAGACACTCTGAAACCGTGCGCAACTTAGGCGTCAGTTTTGATCCCCAGCTTTCCTTTCTACCAGGAGTTCTGTAACTCAGTAGTTAAAGCACTTGCTTCACAAGCGAGAGACCTGGGTTCGATTCACGGCAGGGCGAAACCTTGGACAAGTTTCCTTACTCCACACGCCTGATAATAATCCCTCAAAAAAAAAAAAAATTGGTCACTTCAATCCACAACTGTTTGTGGGACACTAATGTGCGCAAACGGCTGCCGCATTTCGCCCACAAACACACAGTCAATTCACTATATAGTATATTCTGTGAAGCGCTTTGAGACATCTAGAAGATGTGAAAAGCGTTACATCAAATGCAGGATTATTATTATTATTATTACTACACTTCCATTCCCTGACCAGGACCACTTTTTTCCACCTCCGTAACATTGCCCGCTCCATCTGTAACTCATAACCAATGCAGCTAAAACCCTTGTCCATGCCTTCGTCACTTCTGGGCTGGATTATTCCAATGTGCTTCTTGCTAGTCTCCCCAGCTCCACCATACACAAAACCCAATTAATTCAAAACTCAGCCGAATGGATACTCACCCACAAGAAACTCCATATCCCCATCACACCAGGCCTTGCCAGGCTCCATATCACCAAACGGATCAATTTCAAGATCCTCTCACTCATTTTCGAATCACTTAATTCCCTCGCACCTCCCTACCTATCCAACCTGCTTACCCCCCACTCCACTACCCGTTGCCTCAGCTCAACTGGCTCCAAACTCCTATTTGTTCCTCGTGCCCTCCGTTCCACCATAGGTGGCCGTGCCTCAGCCACTGCACCCCTGGAACTCTCTACCTCAATCCCTCCGCCTTGCCCCCTCACTCCCTACTTTCAAATCCTGCCTAAAGACCTTCCTTTTGGATCATACTTACAGTCACCACCCTCTCTCCCTGGCTCAATGTCAAACTCCGTCACTGTGAAGCGCTCAAGGATGCTAGCCCACTTAAATGGAGTTATATATGCAAGTTTTTGTTACTGTTGAAGTCTTTCATACAGTTCTTGATCAACACTGCTTTTGTACAAATCCCAAATCCTGTCTGCCTCCATTTCCTCACTTAACTCCAACACAACCTAATTATTCTTCACCTCCAGATTTGATTTCCCATGCTCTTCCCTCAGGCCTTCCTAACATAATCATAGCCTAACTTGGTCCATAAAATCCAACTTACACAGAACTGTGCAGCTCACATCTTGTGCTGCATTAGGCTCTATGATCTCAGCATTTTCATTTGTGAAGGTTCCAGAGGCTCCCTGATAAATGTTGAATACTCAATTAGGTTTAAATGGATAATTGACAAGGAACCAATGAGAGGAAGTATAAAAAGAGACTGGGAGTGGGACAAATGGTGTCTGATGTCAAGAGGTGCTTGATATGAGAACGACAGAATATAGAAGCTACAAACGCACCTGTGACTTGGATTGAGTTATATTACAATAAAGGTTGCTCTGACTTTCAATTGCCTCCACTCCTTACTCCATCCGTCTTCAGTCCCTTTGTCCTACCCACTCCCTCCATGCCACACATTGCGCTTGCTGCATGTTTCCCACCCATTTATCTCATCATCAGTGACTAAATTGTCATTTATTATGCATTAAATCAGTTACGGATTGGATTTAAGATTTGAAGGTTTCATATACAAATCCTGGAGGATATACTCAGCACTTCACATTTTTGAAGTCAATAAAATGAGTTTTGTGCTTAAAAATATCCACAGAAAGAGATATGGGATCAGCAGGGTCTTAGAAACATTTAGAATTTTACTCTAATCTGCTAATTAATCAGTTAAGAAATGGTGTCATTTCAGTTTGTAATTATCACAATCTGTTATAAAATGTCACAGATATACTGTATAATAATCCTTGCATATCATATAGCACCTTTCATGGTGGAAGAACGTTGAGAAAGCGCTTCACAGGATTTACTGCAAAGTGTGATGACTGTGTAGTTTGTGGGTACAACTAGCTTGCATAAACTGCATATAAAGAGGGGGAAGCGAGAATGTGGTCACTCTTTCTTCATACTACTTCCAACTTCAGAAAGAGGCCCTTTTGAGAATAGCTGCATTGAAAAACATCAAATTGTCTTCTTCCAGAAAGGACCAGCAGATAATTTGTTCCAATACAAAGCAACTCTTTGCCCAAACAGCAAACCTGAGAAATCATATTTCTGGATTTTGACTACTGCATCGTGCTACCCTTCCATGTGCTGGATCTGTGGACCACTGCGCATTTCTTAATAAAATCCAGGTTCATGTGTTCCAATGATAAATCAGGATTGGAGCTCGATTGAGCCCCTCACTCTTGTGCGGTTGCTATATCTGGCCTCCATGTTCAACTTCCTACTTTATCAAAGG